TAGTAATATATTTACTGAGAAAAATGGTGATGTGTTCAATACTTATTTTACCCGCTGTATGTGTATTTGTATTTGATTATAAAGTTGGACTTTTTGCAATAAAATATTCCTTAGTTATGAACATTTTCATTATTAACTATTATTAGTTAGTAACTATTTCATACATACACACATACAACGTGACATTCTGTTCCACCCTTCTGCTGTCTGTGCCCCTATCTGGCAACCCCCAGAAAAAAATCCTAAACCCGCCCCTCTCAAAGAGAGAACAGAATAATGGTGAAAAGATTAGGTAAGAGAAAAACTGATTCAGAATGCAGGGTGTTTAAGCTGCAGTGGACAAACGGTTATTTTTTTGTTCATCTGTAAGGAGGCGGTGGCGGTATTCAAAGAATTTAATCTGTGGCGACACTATGAATCCCGTCTCAAAGACAAGTATGATAGCTTGTAAGGTCAAATGTGAGCAAACAAACTGTCAAAGCTAAAAAGATGGACTGTTAGCTCAGCAGAATACATACTGTGAAGAACCCAGAGAGGGTTATTTGATTGTGCTTTCTGGAAAACAATCAATTTTTACATTTAGGCACTCCTGCAATAGTCACACTTTTTCTGTTACAAACTGACACTGGCCCCCACCAGAGATTGGAAAAGTTATGCGGCCCTTACAGGAAAAAGTTTGGGGACCCCTGGTTTAGGTCTTCAGGGCGACACAGCTGAAGCACACGTGAAAATAAATTTTAAGATATATTAATAATTCTGTACATTTGTGTAAAATCTATTTGTGTGATTTTTAAAACAATGCATCTTTCATAAAAAAAACAATCCAAAGTGAAGTGGAAGTAAAGACTTGATCACTTTGATGGAGCCATTTTTGGTCTAACGAAGGTTCTCAAGTTAAACATTTCTATCTCTTGTGCTACAGTATATTCACACGTTGTACAGTTTAGTTGTTGGGCAGGATGGATACATCGTTGTTAAGACAATCCCTTGAACAATGTGTCACTTGAAGAATAAATTTTAACCAAAAAGTCACTTAAAGTGTTAACTCTTGGAGTTGTTTCTGCATTTGCAGCTTAAATTTCAGATTTCAACTTCCCTTGAAGTTCCATTTTATTTTTATTATCAGAAAATGGGAAAAAAAAAACTGATGCCACCACAGAAAACCTGCCGAGAGAGGGTCATGCACCAGAACTCATGGACCCAATAAGGTGGGCATTGCTCTGAGAGAGGCCGAAGATAACCCTGATGGATGTGGGCAGCATTTCTGCAGAGATGAGAGATGAGAGATTGTGCATCGGACCATTAAAAGCTGCACAGAGCTGAGCTTCATGGAAGAGTGGCAGGAAAAAGGCAACGATTAAAGAAAAAAAAAGATGGAACTATTTAGAATTTCTTCCACCAACGTATGGAAGGAGGTGTCGTTGTCAGATAATGCTAAAAGTGAACTTGTTGTCCATCACCTCCACATTGAAGCACAGAGGTGGCAGCATCATGCTGTGGGGATGCTTGCAGTATTGTATAAAGTACCACAAAGTGAAACTTGAGTAAAAGTACAAGTATCGTACCAAAAAATTACTTTGGTAAAAGTAGAAGTCTCCTTCAGGAATATTACTTGAGTAAAAGTCTTAAAGTATCTGATATTTTTGTTCTTAAGTATTAAAAGTAAAAGCATTGATTTAAAATGAGCAGTTAGATTTTCTGTAAGGACATTTATTAGGAGTTGACCTCCCCAAAAACTGCAGACATGACTGTTGTATTAAAATAATTACTTTATGTTAAATTTAGGATGCACCAGTCTAGCTGATTCAGTTTATATACAGCGGGTAAAATAAGTATTGAACACGTCACCATTTTTCTCAGTAAATATATTACA